TATTGCACGCGTACTATCCACACACACACACTTCCAATGCAAGCGTACTATACACACACACACACTTCGAATGCAAGTGTACTATAGACACACACACACACTTCCAATGCAAGCGTATTACACACACACACACACTTCCAATGCAAGCGTACTATACACACACACACACTTCCAATGCAAGCGTACTATACACACACAAACACTTCCAATGCAAGCGTACTATACACACACACTTCACCTCTTTGTACACGTACTATACACACACACTTCACCTCTATGCACGCGTACTATACACACACACTCACTTTCGAATGCAAGCGTACTATTCACACACACATTTCCAATGCAAGCGTACTATACACACACGCTTTACCTCTTTGTACGCGTACTATACACACACACTTCACCTCTATGTACGCGTACTATACACACACACACACTTTCAATGCAAGCGTACTATACACACACACTTCACCTCTATGAATGCGTACTATACACACACACACACTTCCAATGCAAGCGTACTATACACATACACTTCACCTTTATGCACGCGTACTATCCGCACACACACCCAACCATCTCCCTTCACGCCCCAATGCACACCAGGTGCGTAATGCGGGGTCGTGGGCTGGCAATGTGATGATGGCGTGTCACTACCCTGACTTTGTGTCGGATGTGTTGGTGGTGTTGGCGGGTGCAGGTGCCACCGTTACCATTCAATCACGCGAACAGAATAGCCCCGGCTGTGTGCTTCGCTCGCTCAGCGGACTACTGGATTGGGCTTGGTATGTGTGTGTAATGTGAGCATGGATGAAAGAATGTATGCATGTGTGTAGGTGTGTGTGTATGTATGTATGTATTTATGCGTGTGTGTATTGTGTGCGTGCTTGTGTGTATATATGCGTGTATGTATGCGTGCGTGTGTTTCGTGTGCGTTTGTGTATGCGTGCATGTGTATATGTACGCGTGTATGTATGCGTGCGTGTGTGTGCGTGTTCGTGTGTGTGCGTATGCGTGTGTATATATATGGATGTACACGTGTATGTTTGCGTACTTGAGTATAAGTCTGCGTGTATGTATGTATGCGTGTGTATGCACATGTATGCTTGCGCTATAGTACTCGAGTAATGTCTCGCTGCGGCACTTATTCGTTAGTTATATAACGTTACGGATAAGCAGAACAACTCGCACCGGACAATTTGATTGGTAGATATTAATAGCCTCACCTGCAATCTGATCGGTAGATATTATTTGTCTCTCCCACAATCGGATTGGTAGATATCATTTGCCTCTCCCACAATCTGATTGGTAGATATCAATAGCCTCTCCCACACCCATCAGGTATGCTTATCAGACAATCGTATGGAAGTCATTGTATTGCAATCGCGTAGTGACTCTCTGCGGCATGTGTTCGTTTTGATGCAGTGCCACGGACAAACAGAAAACTACGCGCCGGACAATCTCATTGGTAGATATTAATAGCCACGATTTCGCATCCAATGATATCGTCGTTAGCTGCTTCATCCCCCAACCCACCAGTATCAAGCAGACCGGCATCAGCCAGGTCTACCGCACGTACAAGGTGAGGCTTAGCATGTTCACAGATGCTAGCGTACTCACACACACATCTGATATTGCGGTGTTCATAGATGTTAGTATACACTCATATATATCTGATATTGCGGATGGGAGACCTTGTCTGGCACACGTGTACACCATTCAGTCCCCCGTGTGCTGTATAGCGCAGAAGTGTATGTGTCTGTATCTTTGAATCCCTGGCCCATCCCGGGTGTCGTTTCCTTCACTCTGCGCGTGCTAGTTGGGGGGGTTGTATTCCACTCCTTGTTACCTGTACACAACCGTGTAACCATCAACACGCGAAGACAAACATCCTCTCCCGTACACACCCTTCAGCCTCTACCACCCTCTCCCAAACACATTCTTTTGTCTTCACTATCCTCTCCCATACACATTCTTTTGTCTTCACTATCTTCTCCCACACACATTCTTTTGTCTTCACTATCCTCTCCCATACACATTCTTTTGTCTTCACTATCCTCTCCCAATCACATTCTTTTGTCTTCACTATCCTCTCCCATACACATTCTTTTGTCTTCACTATCCACTCCCATACACATTATTTTGTCTTCACTATCCTCTCCCATACACATTCTTTTGTCTTCACTTTTCTCTCACACACACATTCTTCTACCTTCACTACCCTCTCACACACACATTCTTTTGCCTTCACTATCCTCTCTCTCACACACCATTGTCCCGTCTCACCTGCATCCACAGGTGGCATCACGTAAACGCAATGCCCACGCAGCCGTCAACGCCGCATTCAACCTGAGCTTCACCCCCAGCGGAGTGTGTGTGCGTGCTCTGATACTCTTCGGCGGTGTGTGCGCACACAAGGGGATGTGGCGTGCGAAGGGCCTGGAGGCGTATGTGTGTGGGAAAGCTCTCTGCGACGACAACACGCTACAACACGCGCTGTCGGTGCTGACGGAAGACATACTCAGAGCGAACACGGACATGGCGAAGGGTAGTCACACAGCTGAACCACAGGACGAGGGCAAGGAAGAAGAAGAAGAAGAAGAAGAAGAAGACAGGTTCACATGTTTGTCGGCTGTGAATGCGGGCAAGACACGCACACGTACACGCACACGCACAGAGAGACACGCGGAGAAGGAGAAGGCTACTGCGGGGGGTATGTGTGAGGGCGCAATGAAAGAGAGCGTGTATAATCGTATTGTGTTGTTGTATGTGTGGATATATTCTGGATATGGTACTTGTGGGTTGGTCTACGCTTTTTCAAATGGCTGTATGTACAGTCAATATATAT